GTAATGTCGCCTGCATCTCCTTATTTTCTGTGAGTATTGAGCAGTGTTTTGTTCACATTCAATAATTTCGATAGCTGTGGTAGGTATTCCTTTAGGCATCAGAGCTGATCGCTATGTGACTACCCGCAATGGCTTAAGACCAGGGCCCAGATTCCATTACCTTCTCGTGAGCACACTTCCACCATATCTTCCGCAGTTTTCACAAAAATTTTTGTAATCTCAGTCTCACTGCTGACCAATTTTATTACGCTCCAAGTAGCTAAGTTTACGCGACTGACAGGTGAAAGTTTAATTAACTCAGGTGTTAAGGCCTGTATGTTGTTTCGGTCGTGGTCGTTTCACTTATTATACACTAACTTGAAGTAATTATGTTGTTTTTTATTAATAGTTCATTGCATGCCGCTGCTTCAGGACTGTCGTTAGTGTGTTGTTTTCGTCTCCATTTTGTGAGCGACTGTTACCGCTCACCGTGTGCTGCCGCGGGCCCGAACGTTTGGATGGCTGATGGCGAAGACTATCTCCTTACTCATCCGTTTTACAGCGATTCGGCACTCCGTGGCTAACAACGGTTAACCGGGCGGATCAGTGTAAACTCAAGTGTAACGCCTGGTTTAGTGAATGAGTCCTGATGAAGGCAATCAGCTGGCCAGGTTGGACTAGAAGAACCAGATGGAAGACGCCAGTGGAAGGACTTTGTTCCGTACATTAACCCTGAACTGCTGTTTCAGCTGTCAGACGTCCGCACGTGGGTCCGAGCTGAAGTCAGTCGAGGGGCAGGAGGTTAAAACATCCGAGATAAGGCGAAGCGCTTCACGATAATGGCGACTGATCCCCAGTCGTTTAAGTACCGAAACAAAGACACAAGCTTGCACACGCTTGTGCGCTTTGCGCGTACATCCAACTAACTGGTGGAAGATTTATGAGACGCGAGGTAGGTAAACAAGAGCGCCAGCGTTACCTCTACCTTGTAAGCTTTTTGCGATTTGTGTACTCGGAACAACAAAGTATTTGGTTACTATGCGAACAAGGTTGTCATATGCGCAGTTAAGCGACGTCTAAGAAATGATACCGACCAAGCAGATAGCTTTGCCTTGAAAAAAGCGGGGCCAATCCAGCCTGACAACGCCAGAGTCTTACACCTTGTCTAAGGCTTGAGATTTTCGTACTAAGATCTCTTTATATATCCTCTTCAAACTAGCCGAACATGGATTCAAGCAGACATCTCTACGAGTTCGGGAAGCGTTGGTAAGACATGGCGGTACTGTGGGTGGTTTAAATTTCCTAATCTTACATCGCAGGACAATATTAAAGATTTTGAGAAAAATAAAGGCCCGAAAACTCAGATTTCAATGGACGTTTGTCAACGCCGTCACAGGTATCTGGACAGGACATATTGGCCGCATTGGGCTACCCGGCAAATATCTGCATTGCACTGCTCCGCAACACTGTTAGGTGTTGCTTTTAGTCTGAAGTAACTACGTTCATCCTTTTGTTGTTTGGTAGCGCTCCCCAAAGAGGAGCTGAGATTCCATTTCCTTAACTTCTTCGTTAGGTTATCCCTGGGAGATTATGCCAACTGAGTGGTCTTCCACCACAGGTTTGCGCTAAGAAGTTAGATCGGCTCTTAACGTTTGTGCTGTCGAACGCGCTTTTATCGAAAGTCCATCTCCACATGTCAATGGTTTTCATAAAGATCGTCCTTGTGGGCGTGAGCTACTGACTGGTTGTCGTCCGAGCTGCGAGTCTGATCCCTGCGGTGCATGCTTCGTCTCAAGGCATTTTAAATCAAGCAGAAAGTCATTCACTGGGACGTTAAAAAGTAACTGAGGGACAGTCTATTCGACGAAATCCGAACTTCAGTGAATTTTCATTCGTACTCGAGACAGCGGTTCGCATATTGCAATCCACCTTCCCCTCTGAGAGCAGCACATGTGCAGTGAGTGGCCGATCTCATGGAATGCTCACCGAAATTCTGAGATGTACTTTCAATTAGAAAGGATCACTTAGGTGGGGTTTCAGTACTGATCATTGTACAGCATGGTCCCATGGAAAATGTCCCTCGGCATGCACTTTGCTGCACTTCACAGTTCCATTTTTTACGCGGTGAGATAAAAGCTCGCAGAATCCCTAAAGATGCTGATATCTGGATTTTGCTCTTCAACATGAAAGGAGAACGGGTAAATAAAAAGATGTTTCAAAAACATACTGGCGAGGGGAGGTGATTCAACCTCTAATCTTTGGCAAACACGCCCACGCAATCTGATTTCGATGCTATTATTAGGAGGTAGTATGTGCGTTCCAGTTGGTAGAAAAGCTGGCATTCGCATAAGTACATACAGGGCTTTATGGAGGAAGCTCGACAGTAGTATAAGCAGGAGTAGTAGTTTGGTCATGACAGAATAGCACTGCCGACGAAAACAAGAGAGAGTGGAATGGTCCTTCTGGCATATTAGCCGTCGTCAGCCAGTCACAGCTAACCCCGAATTGTGGAACGCCTGGGACTCAGTGGGTAGAGGCATTTGACTTCCAACCAATAGGTCGCGGAATCGAGTCTCAAGTGATACACACTTCGGAATCGGGTATGACTGACCGTCGAAAGCTAATAAACCAGGAATGGCCACCCCAGTCTCTATTGTCTTTCTCGGTAATAACATCCTGCCTATATAATGCGCCACTATGAGGCTGCTTACTGTGCTCGGGAGAGAGTTTTAAGGCCCAAATGGACGAGTGAATTTAATAAAATGATCGGCGAGCGTCCCTCTTCCACAGTTTGGTCATGGTAAATTAAGAATGTCCGGTTGCCTAAGTTCCGGAGAGGACCTGGTCACTCGTGCCTCAGTCCTCTGCAACAGGTCATCCCTTTTCGCGGTTTCCACGCGTTAGGCACGTGGAGAGGACATTCACATGACCAGACCGTACTGGCCATGGTGAACTACACCCATTGCGTTTAAAACCTCTCTTTTGCAGTTGGAGCCAAATGGTGGCATTCTCTGAGTTTGTCAGTCAGAGCTGTCTCATAGAACTGTAACCGTCTGTTCGGCTAACTCATGCTTAGTACGTTAAGTTGTAAAATGACGACTATAATCAATCCGTTCCTTACCATCACCGACTCCTCCACCAATATTCAATTCTACTTACGTCCACAATAACAACTAACTATAGTCTTCCCATATAAACGATGCTAAAGTAGTCATTAATTTCACCGGCCGCCCTCATCTCCTTTATTCGCTCATTGCCTTCTCTAGCAGTTCTTGAAGTGAATAAAATTATCACGTTAACTCCTAATTTCGGCTTAAATGCTGTCTGGAACGTTTTTCGGCGTGGTTTCGTTCTGCAGCCCCAATTGATTGATACCAAATCGTTAACTTACTAAAACAATATTAGTTAAAATACCTAGCTTAGTCACTCGCTAGACAAAGAAGGGGAAGTGAGAGCAAGCAGAGTTTGAGGCACGTGCAGGGTAGCGAGTGAAGGTGGCGTGTACATGCTCTCCCCCGGACACAGCCATTCGCTAGATTGAGAGGATAAGAAGGGCGCAAACACAACTGGAGGGCCACGGTGGGGACCGCGTGGTAATTCGCAGAGCATGGCCACCGTGGTGGAGCCGACGGAGTTCCATACCTTCCGAACAATTCCGTTAGCAAGTCTATTTGTCAACTCGCTGGATTAGGATAACGAGGGGGCGCATGCAGGATTCGAAACACGCGCAGGGAAGCGCGTTTGGACGGATAACTAAAGTCACCGAGGCTGGAGTATAAGCACTTCTTCCCCCAATAGAAGCGAAGAGAAGAGTACCAGGAAGCAGTCTTGAAGAAGAAGACACGATCGCCGGGACAAGAGCTTTATTAGCCTGACGTTTCAGATTCCTGCTCGAATCCATCATCAGAGACAAAAGCAGATAAGGGAGGTTCATGCATATGCGGCTGCGGTATTTATAGGATGCAGCAGCCATGTTACCGTATACCTATGAATATTCACGGCTCCCGCCCCTTCATCAGGGGTCGTTGCTCGTGGCGTGATGGCCGACATTGGCGTCGTTAATTGCTGCAATTTAATCCCGCGCGTTGGATGTTGGTGTGATGATTGCTCGACCATCTGACGCGCTGATCCGGGTGTTGGGAAGAGTGTTCACCTGTGCGCTCCCCGCGTGGCCAATTACTCCGCCTAGACGAAGTCTCAGCACGGAGTATTAAATAGGAAGATCATTGCACTTGTTGATGGACTGGGGGCCAGTAAACCATGACTCAAGCAGCTCCCGGCTCACGCGGTTGTCACCTTCTGCGAGAATTTCGGCCTCGTCAAATTTGAGTGTGGCCGGAACCCGTCGAATGAGCCGCAACTCGAGAGCTGGCTTCATTTCTCCGCACCGCTGTTGCTTGTTCGGCCATTTGCGTTTGGAGTTGTCTTCCGGTTTCTTCGACGTAGTTGCTTTGTCCGCAACTGCACCAGATCCGATAAAAGGCTCCAGACGTTTCTAGCCGTGGTAGTGGGTCTTTCGGTTTCATTAACTGACGCCTGATGGTTGCCTCCGGTTTGTGAGCAACTCCAACCCCAAGTGGTGCGAGGAAGCGGCCGACAGCTTCCGAAACGTTCTTGAAATATGGAAGCGCTCGCCAAACTTTGGTGTCCGTGCGGTTAGGCCTTTCTTTACTTTTGCGTATTCACCGGTTGACGAATTTGCGCGGGTAACCATTGGCTTTGAAGACCCGTCGGAGGTATTGTAGTTCAGCAATCTTGTCTTCCGGCTCACTACAGTGCGTTTCGACACGCCGATGTAGTCTTCTTACGCAACTGCGTTTGTGTCTGATTGGGTGGTTGCTGTTGAAGTTCAGTACTTGCATCGTATTTGTCGCTTTCCTGAAAAATTTGGTTTTTAGTTCACCACAATCTTTGCGGCATACGAGGACATCCAGGAAGGCCAGCTGGTTGTTCTCTTCCTCCTCCATCGTAAATTGCATGTCCGAGAAGACCGCAATCAGACGTTCCTTGAATATCAGCAGTTAATCCTGGTCGATAACGACGAAGGTATCATCCACATGCCGGGCCCAGAACTCCGGTTTGTGGTGTTGGAGGACCAGCGACTCTAACAGTTGCAGGACCGCCTCGACTATGAACCCCGAAATCGGCGAACCCCTTGGTGTGCCCTTCACCTGTTCGTAGATTGTCCCGTCGAACGTGAAGTACGTCCTGAGACAGAACTTCAGGAGCTGAAGGACTTGGGCGCGTCCAAGACGATTCTCCCTTTCATCGTATTTGCTTTGTAGAAGCAGCTCGATTGTCTCAATCGCCAGGTCCTGGGGAATAGAAGTACAAATGGATGTAACATCAAAAGATACCGTGACCTCATTTGGATGGAGGCTTACCCCTTTGAGTTTCTCCAGGAATTGTGCTGACGAAGAGATCGTGGTGTCTGACTCCGCGGTCAGGAACTTGAGACGCCGGAACAGCCACTTAACTAGTCCGTACGTTGGAGTACCTTTGAGCGACACGATGGGCCGGAGAGGAGCGCCGTCTTTGTGCACCTTACGGAGGCCATAGAATCGGGCCAAAGCCGTAGCTTGGGGTCTCGCCATGCCTCTGTCGGTCGGTGTTATTGCACCTGAGTTCTCCAAGGCCAACAACGTAGCATTAATTTTGCGTGTCAGCGCTTTTGCAGGGTTCGCTGCACATGGGGCACAGAACTGTCGATCCTCCAGTAAACCTTTGGCTTTTTGAAGGTAGTCTGCCCAGTCCAGCACAACCGTGGAGCGCCCCTTGTCCGCTGGCACGATGGCCAGGTCTTTGTCGGCCTTGAGTTCTCTAAGCGCATCACGTTCGACCTTGGAAAGCACGTCCCACGGCCTGTAGGTTATTAGGAGAGACAAAACTTGGTGTTGGATGAGGCTCTTAGTCTCCTCCGTTGGATTTGATTGGCAGACCTTATCTGCTTTTGTCTCTGATGATGGATTCGAGCCGGAATCCGAAACGTCAGGCTAATAAAGCTCTTATCCCGACGATCGTCTCTTTTTCTTCTTTTTCTTCTTAAAGACTCCTCCCTCCGTTGCACAGTCATCCGCTGGATCAAAATGATATTGTAAAATGCAAATACCTGATACTGTTAAAGTCACCAAACTTGCAGCTACTGAACCTTTTTAGAAAGCTTACCAGGTCGGGCTGCAGGACCAAACCTTACCTGTTTTTTCTTTGGAATTGTTACCAAGATCATAGTGGGACTGTGTCCTCCCTTATATACGAAAATGACTAAACTGATAAAGCATTATGGTAACGGCGAGGCATAGGGGCCCCACGTAGCTGGCAACTATAATAGGTGCATTAAAATCCCCTGCAACTGCAGAAATCCTTTATTCTTCAGCGGTCTATTGACTGAAATTTCCTGGGTTTCCTGATTGAATGCAAACTAGCCAGCGGAAGTTAGTTCAAAATGCGTTATTTTTAAGATGGCGTTTTGTCTATTTTTTAAGTGCCACGCGCACTCTGTTTGCTATATGACAGTATACAGTAGGTGGGCTAACTTATGAAATGTCAAGCGAAATTCCAAAATGCGTTCTCATTTCGGAATGATTAATTAAGTAGGATTGTAAAACGAATTATCATGCAGCATAATTCGATAATGATCCAGTCATCTCAGGGTGCCTTCTTTTGAAAGAACTTATTTCCGACTGCATGCAAGAACAGAAATCTGCGAAAAATGACTACTTAATTAGCATGCATTTTTCGCATTGATTTTCAATGTTCTTAAAATTCTATTATATTTTCTGGAAGACATGCACAAAATGCTCATCCTTTTACTCAATAAGTAATAAATTACCCCCTTAGTCAAAATATATACTCAGAGGAAGAGTATAATTCGGTTTTTAAAACTTTTTCGATTTCCGAATAATTTTGAACCCTACCCGCTGTTATACTTGCATTTAAGGTTTCAAAACTACAAGTCGTTTATGTTCCGTGTACGGAAAACCATGCATTTCTCTACGGTCTTAAGAGGAAACTATATGGGATTCGTAAAACTAAGCAGTGGATTTGAGCAATATTGTTAACTTTACGAGCCAAATTGGTAAGTTCAGATACATGGCGTTTTATCAACGGCCATGACCGCTTCTTTCCTATTAGCCGTAATCCGTCAGTCACACCCAACCCCGGGCTTGCTACCACCGGGTAACTGAGAAAAGGCCCTATCAATAAAAGGTCAGTTGAACTACTAAGTATCTGGCAAGATGTCTTTTGCGCGCTCCGTTTTCACAAAATATACAATACGGAAAGAGTGCATGCACACCGCTAGCCACAGGAGAAAAACTTGGTTAGGGCGTTGGACATCTAACTAACTGGTCACAGGATCGAGCCCCAGATATTCCACTCTTCTAGTTTGGACATGACTGACCGACGACAACTATCATTATATATTCCCGATCGAAAACCGGCAGGGCAATGGGCTCGTGGCTCAGTAGTTAGAGGCGTGGACTTCTAGCAAACAGGTCGCGAGTTCGAGCCTCGGGTGTGCCACACTTCGGAATTGGGTATGACTGTGACGAGGGATACTAAGCCGGAAATGGCCACTCCAATCTCGCTTTTCTTTGTCGGTAATACCATTCTGCCTATATCATGCCCCTCTGTGCGGCTGCTGGTTGGGCTTGAGAGAAAACCCGTGAGGCACAACAGGACGAGTGAGTTCCGTAAAAACGATCGGTGAGCGCCCCTCTATTCATGTTGCTTATCTGTGCCATATTCATATTCGCAGAATTTGGCACAGAGTCGAATATTGGTATCAAAGACGGTTCTAAAATTAAGCGGAAAGGGAATGTTTTCCCTTACAGCAGGAAAACGGCCAATATCAGCAATGAGCAAAATGTCTTCATTTTCCTCGCTTCGAAAAAAAGATGATGGACATTGGAATTCATCAGCAAAACAACCCGACAAAGCATTTTGCGAATATAAAATTTCGGGGAGGGTTTTCATTGAATCAAAAACATATTCACTGTGGGCCTCCTTTCTGAACGTCCATTTTTCTCTGACGATCAGGCCTCGAGTTCATGTGAGTAAAAAATTTATGGTCCAAACCGCAATCTGCCAGAATGTGCAGCGTCTATAATATTGCTGCACAGGTAAAGGACTCCACGAAACCTACTTTTTAGTCTTCCAAATGACCTTGGACTGCGAAAAAACCTTTGCGGACCACTGGCTGCAAACACCGAAAATCGCAATGCGCAACTGGGAATTTCAATCGCCTTTAAACTTTCATCGGAACCAAAGGTGTAAATTGACCAAAAAACTTCTTCCGATGCTCCGAAAACAATATTAATACGCTAGCGGCCGTAAATTATATTCCAGTTTCGTAATCACTGACCAATGCCACGACATAAGAGGGTATAAAGCGTTTACTTCCTCAACGCTGCTGCCCATTTAATCAAATAAAGTCATCTTTGCTGCGGTCAGTCGCATCTCGGACGATGCGGAAATGAAAACTTCTTACTCTTATCGCTACAGCTTTGCCAAATAACAAGTATTACCTGTCCACTACTTCCTGCAGTATATATAACCCAGAAGCCATTTAAAAGGCTGTTGTAGATGGTATTGGGCTTATGCTGAGCCGATCATTTCCCATCTTTATCACGCGAAGTCACAAAAAACCGTAAAACATGCGCGTCTTGGCATATTGTCAATTATTCAATATAATGACTCCCTGCTTGCAGGTCATAAATATTACGCGGTTATTGCACTGCAGCTGAAAAAATTTGGCCCGTTTATTCACATCAGCTTTCGGAGTGATTCTAATAGGCTTTGTTTCTAGAGGTTTACTTCAAGTGCACGCAGTAATTTCTGAGAAAGTTAAAGGACTCGATTTTTTGGCAGGGATATGCATTTTATGCTTTGCAAACAACGTTTACTCATTTTACGCACATTTTTCTATTTTCAGTATTTTCGCGTTTCATTATAAATGTGTATTTCTGGTCGAAGCGATACAAGCGTCCATATACGACGTGCAATTTTCTGTAGCCGAAGACATCATTTGTATCGGTCTCCGAGTCATTGACTTTTTTTAAATATTTGATCAGCACTGCATGCATATCTACAGCGTAACGCTTAGTCTGTTAACACTAAGTAAGTGTGTAGGTTTATCTGCAAGTTGGTTTTGCATGGGAAAAATGGCACGATGTGGCTATGTAGCCGCACCTGATGCATACAATGCTGTTGACCTACTTAATTATTTTGAGTTGGTGTTATTACGTTGGCATGGCGTTGCTGTGCGTAACGGCCTTGTTTCTTTGTTGTTGTGTCTATCATTTTGACCCAATACCGGTAGTCCTTCTCGACTTTTGGCCTGTCGTCTCCTTCTAACTTTCGCGTTGGTTGTTTCAGGGTTTGGGGCAGGGTTATGGCTAAGTGGTTAACGGGTTTGGATTTAGTGTTAGGGTTAGGGCTATGGTTTATGGTTAGGGGTTAAAGCTTAGGGTTAGGGTTAGAGTTAGGGGTTAAAGCAACTGTTTCTCAACTCTTTAAGTATAATCGCGCATTCCCAGTATTTTTTCCTCTTCGTACATTTATTTCACCTTGTCGCCTGTGCGTTCCCCCTCCCCACCTTTAAAAGCCCTTTTTACCACCGATCCCGCATTGCAGGTAGCTGCGTTTTGTTTACCTCAGGTGCGGCTACATTACCATATCTGACCAAAAAATGTTGTAGAACAACAACCCTCGTGAGTAACCAGTTGTTTCTAAGGAGGTCTGGCAGCAACGAAGAAACTTCGGAGGCGTCGTAAGATCCGCACCAACTGTGGTAGTGAGTGTGCCTTCACCATCGCAATAATTCTGTCTCGGTCCGATATTGCAGAAGAAGCAGAATAATATCAGTGGAAATCGTGCAGCCAGTGCAGAAACTCAGTGCTGGCCAACGCACGACCGGCTCTGGGTCTGCTCGCAAGTCTGTCCGTTAGGGCGGTGTGGACATGAGTGAGAAAGCGTTGTGTTAGGATTTCTCAGCGTCAACTTAGTGGGTTAAGACGCACCGGCTACCAAGGACACTCCAAAATGGTAACCCCGACGTGCTTGGCTATTCTTGAGGCTGCAGGTGTGAATGTTCCGGCTGTTCGAAAGTCCTGGTGCCGTGCTTTCTAGCGTGGTGTGGGCTCCAGGGAAGAAAAACCTGAAGCGCTGCATCGCACTTTTCACAAAATGCACGGTGGGGAAGGCTAACGCACTCCAGCACTGAAAACACAACACAGAAACTGAACAGTAAGACAACGAAAATGGGGTCGTACCTTTTCGAAACAAAAAGATTCAGTGTCACAGCCGCAAAGACTTTCGAGCTTGTTCCACTTTCACAAATTATCCGCGAAGATCTGCCTCATGTTTTGCAAACTTCTCCAAACGGTGAAAACCCGTTTCTTTCGCTCGCAAGAGAGATGCCAAAGGCACAGCTTAAATACCGCAAGGTCCGCAGTGAAGGCCATTAGCCGGGACCGGCCGCAGTACACGTGGATCAGGTTAGCGAACGAGAGTGTGTCTTAGCGAATGCATACTGCCAACGGGGATGGCAGTTCGGTCCGCTGGTGTCAGTCAGTGCATGCGCGCGGGCGCACATTGCGAACAACAAATCCGCTATTAGCGCGAGGGCGGCTGATGTTTTAGGGCGATGAATGCGACACGTGTGGAAACACGCGATTTTGATCTTGGAGTTCGTCAGAGCGTGGGTGGCAGCAAGAACGTCAGACCTGTCACCTCTGTTGTCCTTTTATTTTTGACTTTCTTCGTCAGAAGAAATGTTCTTTATTACGGCAATATGTGCAAGGATGGAAATCAATCGTCAGAAAATAGGTGTCTCGGAGTAGCAAGAGAAAGCCTTAGAAGTCCCCCAGTTTCGAACTACAGGGTTGTGCTCATTGGCTTAGTGAATAATGGCATTTCCCTCTTGTAGCTTGCAAGATGGGTTTGTTTGCGGTTTTTCAAGTGCTTTGCTCGGATCGTGATTATGGACGGTGGGGACCTATAACGCGGTCCCATTTGGTCAAGCCCTAGTCACTTGCCTACGAATTTCGTACTAATATCGACCCCAGTAGGTGAGTTTCTGTTCTGGTTTAGGGTTTGGATTTTGGTGTTGGGGTTAGGGTTAAGGTTATGGTCTAGAATTACGGTTAGTGTCTTAGGACTTGGTGTTAGAGTTAGTATTTGGGGTTCAGTGTAAGGGTTTTGAGTTAAGGTTTAGGGTTGGGATTTGGATTAAAGTTTAAGGGTTATGATCTAGCGTTAGAGTTTAGGGTTATTATTTAAGGTTAGGGTTTAGGGTTCTCCGGTTTACCATTGTGGCCGTGTTTAAGGCCTCTGCCTTACCGCCACCTGTGCAACATTCTTACCCCGCTCAGTTTTTGTAAACTGTCCAATTTAGTCACATCATAGCAATTCCCGAGGGCCCATCAGCTACGCTTTGTTCTTATAAAAAATGGGGGACTGAATAATGCACGAACAGTGTAATTACTTCAGATAATCAATATATCATTACTGTATAGCCTTGTTTTAACGTTATCTTTGCCCAGCGATCTTATGTTAAAAAATATAATAATGAAAAAAATAAAACATGTATAATAAAAATAATATAATAAACAGTATTTGGGGTTTAGGGGGTCTGAAAAACACAAGGAACTCGAAGCATCGAGGAGCCCAATGTCGGAGCCAACTCCTCAAAATGGTCTAGTCCTTTACACTGAGCTGGCTTGGCCACCATCTCAAAGAGCACCTTTAGGTAACATAATGACCAATCTATTATCGCACAGACAAGGCTAATTTGCAGTCAACGGGATATCCACTGTCTACAAAGCGGCGCAATAACAAAGGACCGTAGAACTTTGTTTTCCGACTTCAGAAACCGCTTATTAAAGTGACCAATCAACCTGGCTGTCAGCTAACCCTAAGTTTGCCCAGTATAGTTGCCCCCGAAAGTACGCATGAACGCACTTGCGCAAGTTCAAGTGATATGCACAGGCTCGGTTTCGTCGGTATGACCTTCAGGAGACTGACGAGTATGATCGGACTGCATTGTAGACGCCTTCACTTGGGAACCGTAGTTCCGCCTTCACGTACCAAAATCAAGGTCACCCCTGGAGGCAAGACTCTTTTTGAAGCCGCCCTTCGAAATTGGCTGTTGCGCAGTAGGGCGATGTTGCTGAATAGTCATCATAAAATTGTTTGGTCTCATTGAATTCTACTTCTATTCATCATCTCAGCACTCAATAGTATGCCAAATAGCCAATGTAATGTGTATTGTCTAATGCCTATAAATAGGTACCCGTCCCGTGTTACGGGTGGACTTATGCCAAATTCCGGGGGCAGTTTGGCCTCGAAGTAGGGCTGGAGTTAGGAGACCGGAAAAGTGCAAAGCCACACCTAATACGAAGGGGTTGCCTATTCCCTACTCCAACTGAAATCATTTTTAATTCATCAACTTTCGGAAGTGTGTGTGAAATAGAAACTGGTTTCTGATTTTACGGGTTTCTCGTTTCTATAGTCTGTTTTAAATAAGTCATTTCTAGTTCTCGAAGTGCCCACCAGCACCGTTACTAGTGCAGTATATTTTGTGACTTGTTTCACGCATATACTTACTCCTCCATTCTCCGCGGACCGACTTCGTCTCGAATGTCCAAACTATCCGTTTAAACCGTCTCTCCTCTCAGGGTAGGATCAAATTTTACTAGCTCATTCAGTTGACCACAGTCCGACAACCTTGACCAAAAACTGTTTCCTAAATTTTCCGACCACACCCCCTCAGGTATAATTATTCGTTCACTTACGAATGGTGGTCCGGTATACTAACTTCTGAAACGGAGAGCTGAAACCCCAGTCCCGAAGTCTCCACCTCCACGTTGTATGCGCCTACAGAGTTCATAGTTGCCTAACAGCTTTCGTTCCAGGAGTATTTTCCAACTCCCCTTCAGGTCGGCTTTCTCCAGAATGAAGGATCTAATCTGGAAAATATTTAATGCCCTATCAAATCTACCCTTTAAGAAATTCAGGCATTTACGTTTGACATTAAGAGCAGGTAAATTGATCTTCACTGCAAACGGCAGACTTTCTCAACCAATGAGACCGGACCTTTATGAAGTTGCGAACAAAAAACACTTTTGTTCGGTAGAAGCAAATGGTATCCGGTGATGATATGAATCTCTAAGAGTCTGACCGTTTGCCGAAATGTTTACTGCTTACAGACAACAATGATTTCCATAACAACGGCTTTGGATCACGTATTCAAGTCAGGCATCAGACCCTACGCAGACTGATTTTTATATTTCGCCTACCCCAACAGCTGCAGCATGCGCGATCTTTACCAGAGATCAAAAACATCATTCAAAAGTAGGTCCGCTTATCTTCCCAAACTGCGTCTTCCCGATATTCCGTCAATGAAACGCTCTTGTTCCCCAACAGTCGTTCAATAATCTGAACGAGTGCATTTTTACTTTGAGATAAACGTCTGTTCGGCAAAACACTCACAAAAATCCCATGCCCCACATCAAACGCGAATGTAGATTTCCTGGTTAATATGCTGTGCAGATAATGCTCGGCTTCATTCCCCAGTAGGATTTGTGGGGGGTTGCCAACGGACGCATTGTCAGCTAGCACGACGAAAACATGTTGGCTGTCAAGTACAGTAGGTGGACTAACTCGTGATGTGCCATGAGTTAACACAAGAAAATCCCTATAATGCGAAATCCGCCCAACCTGCGCTCCTCAAAATCCTACGACGGTAAAAAAACGACTATTCTTAAAAAGAAGACATAGTTGGGGTTATAAATTAATATTAGCTAACGTAAAAATAATTAATTTTCACTGAAAAACTAAAATTTCAGAAAATGGCCATATTACAAGTCGCTTAAATAGGGCTAATTTTAAGAGTGCAGAATGAAGGGGACGTATGAAATGGTTAAAATAATGTAAAGTAATAAAAAGTGCAAACAATCAGTACTTTGTTGATTGTCCATTTGCATCAATCACAGCTGTAAGTCTTTCAGGCATGGAGATGGTCAGGTTGTCTACAGTGGCTTGTTCAATGTGATTGTCCAGAAAAAAATCAAGTTTTTCATGCATGGAGAGTTTCTTATTCGCCTTATGTCAATGTCTTTTGATAAGTGCAAAAAGATTTTCGATGGGATTGAGATCTGGACTGTTAGCGGGGATGAAAATCGACTGAAGTCCACATGTGGACAGGCTGACTGTTGTCAAAAAGGTCAGATTACGGTGAAATGCCAATTGAATTAAGTACAAACATATTCTGCACGCTCAAAAGGGACATTTTCCGGGACATACTAGACGAATAAGTAAAATTTGCAACAGTTTAGGCGCCTAAAATGGATTGTCTCAGTTTCCGTCCTCACGTTTCTTGATTTAGGTCGCATTCTGTATTGCATTTTTATTGCGCACCAGGTAGCCTCTGAAAAGTGGTTCTTGCGTCACCGGTAGACTTTCCCCAGAAATTGATGTGCGAAATTGCTGCAAAATCTGCCCCTTAAGGCGTATCACGTAGCTTGTCAATCAGTGAACGTTTCAGTTCGTCAAACGAACCTTCTCGTGTGAATTTCACGCCGCTAACTTCTGACTACCCATAGCTCAAATTTGTTTGGAATTTGTGAGCTCCCCTAGCTGCCAAAATTAGCCCAATTTTGGTGCTAACAGGCCACTCGTCGACAAAGAAACAAGTAGCGTGATGTTTTCATTCTAATATAATCTGAATAAGAACATGAAATACAGGGCGATTTGTGAATATTACGCGATTATTCCGTAGTAGGTGACAGATTCCAGCTCAAATATTCATAACGACTCTCGGACCGTGCCAGAAAAGGTTTGTTTTGAAGACTTTTCCCAACTTCGCGCATTAATTTCCTTGGGAATTAAACAAGGAAGCTAACATAATCAAGAATACAGTGTTAATATTGAGTAGAATTTTCTGGGGCCGCTATGCGCAGATGCCTCCTGGGTGATCTTATTTGCGATTCGGAAACGCATTTCAGCATTTCGGTTAGCGTTTCATGAGTTAGCATAGTTGTTTTTCATTATTCTATTTTATTTGGAGTTCAGTTATTTCCACTCGAAAGCGAATGGGAAAATGTTCAACATTTTCGGCCAGATAGTTATTGGTGAAGCTTGATAACAGGTGTTTTCGCTCTAAGATTAGCAAATCGCACCCATAATCATCAGGAAGTAAGAAATACTCGTGCTTGCGAATGATCACGTTTTTCAGGAAATATGAGGTAAACCATCATTTGATCCCTAAATGGTTTTATTTGTACTCCCTGCCACACCAATAAATCACCAAACATTTTTTCATCCGCCCGCTTCAGATTCGCTTGCCTCGCACTGACTGCCGTCTGCAAAATTAATTTTCCAAAGCCAGTCAGCACAGGATAAAAGCGGTTAGAGTTGATTCTGCTACGTGAGAGTAAGATGCCAATTCCCTTTCTATGAAGACCGAATCGCGATAGGATCTCCCCAGCTGTAAGCTTTCGAGCCGCTAAATGAAGCCATGTCAAGATTAACCTCCTCCGAAAAATAATGAAATTGTCGACGATTTAGTCTATGGGACAAATTAAATTGACTGGTGGAATAGCAGACATAGCCCCATAAGAAAGCTTGGCATAATTTTCGCAATATTTGCTGTTGCATAATGTAATAAAATATGCAAAACTTTGAGAATTTCCCAAACAACCAAGATTTCGTAATTTTCACAAGCAAAGTTTTCCTTACCCAACACATGTTTTTTTTCTTCCCTCACTGTCGTACATTAAAGTTTATTTGACCCACACTTTCTGTACTGTTCTCAAGACAGGTATTCCGAAGGCGTATGCCTGTTTTCCCTCAGGTACACGCAGGGCTGAACACAAGACGTCTTCTCCTGTTAATGTGTTGTGATGGTAATTACTGGAGAGTGGGAAATTCACTATCTAGGTCACGGATGTGTGTGATGATTTGTGCACTACTACACATGTCAACTGGATGGTCCGCGATGTGCCCCGCAGCATGTTGGGCGCAGTGACGGTGACTTATGCGGTAACTAGTTGTTTTTTGACGACAGACTTGCCCAGCAACTGCCGCACTCTCTCTTTTTTCTCCCTCATCCACATGCCCTGGGGTAAAAGAGGGCCAGGACGACTGAAAGCGGAATGGGGCACGTTGGCTGACAAAGCCCGCCCACGCTTTCACACAAAGGACCAAGCTGCCACGGGAACAATGCTGTGGCTTGGTTCCCATCTGAGTCGGAGTGCCGAACGGGATATACACAGAAGAAGCCATTGAGTTTGAATAATCGTTCTGGGTTACCCTGTCAGTTAGCAGTCTTCCTAGTCACGACTTTCATAGTGGTTTGAAAGCTCAGAAAATTGCGGGATTGAGGTGGTGACAGAGTCCTTAATCTCTCTCTTGCTCTTTCTTCCGTTTCCTACTTACCATGTCACTGTTAGCTATCTGAAGCTGGAACCAGCGGAAAAGGCTGGCGCAGCGTGAGCCTGCGCCCAGCCGTGTCACAACATCGCCTTATGTGCGGTATTTGGTGTGGGATGCACGAACAGTGCGCAGTCGTGCCCCAATCTGCCCCCCCCCCATGGCCCATTTCAGGAGAACCTTTACGAAACTCACATACGATAGTTCAAGTGTCGTGACCGACAATGCCCACCGCGTGTTCCGTAGTAGGGTGCTAGTAGGGACAGTGACTAGCGCGTGATATCTTTCGCTAAATATTTGACTTGCGTTGCATCCACCACACACCCTCTTCCTCCGCAACCTGGATTCGGTGTCAAGACAGAGTTAAGAAGAACTCGGCGCCTCGGTGGGATTCGAACCCACACAGTAAGGGGAAGGCTTTAGCGCAGCCAACGCTCTAACCGCCTGAGCTACGAGGCCCCGCCGGACGACGCGAATTTAATCACATTTGGGTCAAGTTACCCGCCCCACCACCTGCAACGTCTGGAATCCACCAAATCTGATACAGTAAGTTGACTGCCAGGCAGGATTTCCTAAGTAATTCACCTAGACTCCACCAGATGACTACCAGGCTCGCGTAATTCATTGATATTTTGGCGGATTTTGAATAATTCATATTGACCCAACTGTCTGACGTGGCCTCGTAGCTCAGGTGGTTAGAGCGTTGGCTGCGCTAAAGCCTTCCCCTTACTGCGTGGGTTCGAATCCCACCGAGGCGACGAGTTTTTCACAGTTGGGTCAATATGAATTATTCAAAATCTGTCAAAATATCAAAGAGTTAAGAAGACCGGAGGCGAGAGAGGACGCAGAACGCAAGGTCAAAAGCCGCACTTAAGCGTGTCAACACAGTCCCTGGTCCACAGGGTTTTACACAACAAGAGTTAGGGGGAGCGGTTTGGCTCCCATCCAGTGGGAACGCTATAGAGACCACGTTAAGAAGAAACCATTGTAATTTGGCAGTCTGTCCGCCTCTCTGCCACTCCACACAAATGCATACTGCGCTGACTGCGGGGTCCCGTCAGTTGGCAGCCTCCTAAGCCACGGTCTTCAGCACACCGTGATACATTCATGCGTGTCAGATGCCGGCTTTCGAATGAAGTTCCTTCCGACTACATGCAAAAACTACACTCCATAAAAACGACTACTTAAGCAGCATGAATTTCTCTCATTTATTTTCGATGCCCCTAAATGTCCAATTATATTTCATGGAAAACATGCATAAAAGTATCCCTTCTTTCGCTCCTTCGGTAGACAATAACGACTTCATCCAATCTTATACTCGAAAGAAGGGCATAATTCGGTTTTCGAAAACTTTTACAATTCCCGAATGATTTTGAACCCGTCCTACCGTTACACTTCCTACCGTTACATAAGCTAATAGTCGTATATTTTCCGCGTACTAAAAACCATACAGTTCTT